GCCATTTTCAAACCATTTTTTGGCACACCAGTGTGCATGTGCACACCAGAAATTAGAAAAGCAGCCTGGAGATGGTGCACGTGCCCACAGAGACAGCTCTGCATGCCACCTCTGGCACCCATGCCATTAGGTTCGCCATCAGGGTTATATTATTTTTGGAAACTAAAGGTACTTCCCATGTTTTGTCCATCTCTCTCACACTTTTGATCTGTGTTTCTCACCCTCTTTCTGAATGTTGTTTTTCTCTCTGCCCATCACAGCACCATTGTTCTTGAACATATGTTTGCATGTACATGTTAAACCTCTACTTTTAAGCCTTATAATTCCTTCTCCAGAGACTATCCATTTTCCCCTCTGCAGGGCCCCTCGGTTTAAAGGATTTCAACAACAGGACAGCCAGGAGGTGCTCCACTACTTGTTGGATGCAATGAGAATAGAAGAAACAAAGGTAACGTGTTTATTTTTGCAAAAAGAGCCGGTTTGACTCAAATTATTTATTAAAAAAATAAAAAAAACCTTGTGCTATTCTATGCTATATATTAAGAAAACGATTTGCTTTGGTCCACATCTTCAAGATGTATTGCAGGTCTACAGTGAAGCACTGATGATGTTGTAGCTTTTGGCGTAATAGTCAGTTCTTCCAATTATTAATTTTAAATGGACCTAATTATTAATTGGATACTGTCTGATTGCTGTGTGAATTTGTTTTAGAAATCAAACCTAAATTTGCTCTTATATTTTACTGTGTTCATGGATTCACTCAAAGAAGTTTATCTGTTTTATATTGCTGTTTTTACATTGTAATATAATACATACCACAATAATGTAATAAAAACATTTACTAATGGTAGGTAATTTCCGAACTATTATGTGCCCAACTTCAGCGTCCTAACAAAAGTATACTTATAAAACAATGATAAGCATCCTGATTGATTCCCTGAAGGAGTGTCCCTGTGCAGTGTATCTGTTTGTCAATCACATTTTAAAATATTTATTTCATACGCGAGTTCATAAAACAGGACTATAGCAGCTTTGCTAACTTGTTAGCAAAATTTCACAGTATCTATCTGCACTATTTTCCCAGTCCTACTCCCATCCCATCTTTTAAACTTGAGACTTTAAAGTAGCAACTTCTAAAACAGAAGCATTGATAATTTTAACCAGAAAAAAAATATTTTCTCTAGTTGTGCAGGCCAGCTGTGAATTTATTTTCCTTTTTATTTGAAAAAACACATTGGATCTAAGCTGTCTGAATATTACAGTGTATGATCTGTGACAGAGCTCGGACCGTGGCACGTCAAAACCGTGGTCCACTAAAGTGCACCCGATTAAAGCGCGTATGCAGCGCGACAAGAAAGAAAAAGGGCGCTTTAAAAAGCGCTTTTAAAGCAAGCCGATTCACATAAAGGTAAGGGTTAGGGTTAGGG